GGGGGGGGGGGGGGGGCGCACGACAAAACCAAGCCAGAGTTGGACAGGATTGGGATGCTGAGGAAAGGGTCTAGAAGAGGGGCAGGGAGTGGGATCAGGGTATTAGTCCGTCATGATGGATAGAGCCAGTTGGGAGGATACCCACCCCTCGTTAGTACCTAGTTGGCCAAATCATCCTGCCAGCCACCATGGCTGTTTAATTAAAGGTAGGTGAAGATACCTTGACAGGTATCTTGCAGGCTGTGCTCAGTTTTAGCATGAAAAGATAAAAAAGATTCAGGTTAAGGAATACATCACCCTGAGAGATGCTGAAGCTCAGAGATCTTTATGAAAGGCACTGTAACTAAAATTACAGAGCAGCATCTCTCAGCTGGAGCGCTCCCTGATTTGATTTTTTCACGCTGATAGCAAAGTACTTCCTCTTTTCAGGAAAAACCCCGTGACTTAAATAGGACCACAGACTTACGTACTTTGTGGGTCCTTTGGTCCTTTCCGGTCTTCAGTAAGTCATGGAGTGTCCATCCATAAAATGGTATTAATACCCCCTTGATACTGGCAGGAGGAGGCCAGCTGGCCTCTGTGGGCTCACAGGAGGTGCTCTATGAAGCTTGGGTTTCTGCTCTGAGACTTTTACCCCAAAAATCCTCTAGAAGGGTCTTCCCATTGAGGTGTAGAGCTGCCCTATCTTTCTGCCATGTTGCATGACCACTTCTGTAACATCCGTTTTCCCCCTCAAAACCTGTCATCGCTGCCCGTAGAGCTGTTAGCTGATCTGTCAGGTCAGTGATTATAGATGTTTTTCAACTTTTCCCACTTAATTTTCCTCTGCATATTGCAAGAACTAGCAGGCTTAAAACCTATTTTTCTTTATATAGTAAATATGTGAAGAAACCTTTGAGAGGAGCAGGAGGTGCTTTATTTTGCTTAACTTTTTGATACATCAAATATAGTATCAAGAATGACACTAGCACAGTGGTGATCATATTTATTGTTAGGTGCATCAAAAATAATTAATGAGATTTTCAGATTTTGGAAGAAGTGGGAATAATTCATTTTGTAGCTGTGCATCTGGCAAGATGCTTTTACAGAATGATGTAAAGTTAAATGAGTATGTGGCCATATCTAAGTGAAGGGAAAAGTGCTTTGATTACTCAGAAACCTGTTAAATCAGAAGACTGCTGATCAGTTCACTGATGCCAGGACAGATTCTTAACTTAGAGCTGTATTTACCAAGTGTTAAAATAAAATTTACAGCTTTCAGTGGTCAAACATGGATGGAAGTGGGGCTTTAGAGAAGAGGCTGTGGAGATACTATCCCAAACGGCAAGATGGGTGCTTCCATACCATATAACAAGGGTCTTGGGACCATATGCTCAGTTTGGGATCATCCTCTTTCCAGGCAGGCGATGAAGGTGCCTGAGGATGATGTACATCAGCTGTATGGTGGTGGATGCCTATGTCACTGCACTGTGCTGATCTTGGGAACGTCAAATTAAAAATGACTGTAACAGCCTGGCCCCTGGATTTTCTAATTTGCACTACTTCTTTCTTGCAGGTGAATGGAAAAGGTTCGTTATGGTGTGTTGACCCAGAATATAAACCTAATCTTGTCCAAGCACTAAAAAAGCAGCCTTTTCCCTCAGCACTTGCATTTTATACTCCGCCAGCGTCACCGCCAAGGTAGGTGGATTTTCTCGTCCGAGTAGGGCATGCGGTTACATTACTCCACCTAGCAGAGGAAATGCCTATGCGAATATTGATGTGTTGTTACCAGCTGCCACCTGAGAGAAGAATTTGAGTGGGGCTTACGTGAGACCAGGTAGACGAGGCAGGGAGGTGTAATGAGCTCAGACTTCCCAGATAGCAGATCTGGGGCTTGTGTCCAAGTCATCTTCATAACTGTGGGAGAATTTAAAAGCAGGATGTTGGGGCTGTGCTGGGTGCTAACTGGTGAGCCCCGTTTCTTGGAGGGCAGGCAGTCCTGGGAAGTGGAGCAAAATCCTCCTTCAGGCACAGTTCACTGGGACTCATCTAGGGTGCCTGGTGCTGCTAGCTTGCGAGGAGGTGTGTGTCTTCTCATATAAGTCACTCGTCTGGATATTAAATATATATATTCTATGCTGTTGTCAAAAACAATCAACTTTTCTACAGTCTGAAGTGATTAGAGAGGCTGGTCTAAGAGAGAGGTGTTTTTTCTCTGAGGCTGTTAAAAAGCATTTTGCAGCAGGGATGGGAAGAACAGCCTTTACCATAAACATACTGTGAGGTGCAGCCTGCAAGACTTCTGCAATCAGGGCTTCCTCATCTGACACATTTTAAGATTAGGCAATAGACTTTTGAGAATTTGAAGTAAATGTCATGTGTTCTCAGTAGAGGAAGAGGAATGGCAGCTGGGTCAGCCTACAGAGGTGGGACAAAGAGGAGGAGGACAGAAAGCAGAGAGGAACACAAGGCTGTTGGTGAGCTCAGTTCTTAGGTTAGGCACGTGGCCAGTTTATCTAGTTCAGCAAAGAATTTGGGTGAGATAAGAGATAATTAAAGTCTTTGTACATTGCCCTATGCCTTATTCTTACTGCAAGGAGTTTCCTTAACAAACAGGAGGAACTGGGATTACTGGAGCAGGATGTAAAACTGATAACCTTGAGCAGACATTTCTAAGGGTCCAATGGGACGCTGACCCTGGGAGCTGGCACCCTCGTGCAAGCGTGAGCTATCTGTCAGTGGCTGAAGATTTGTGTGGCCTGGGCTGTTCCACTTGGGCTTGTAATATCCAAGCTGTAACAGTAGTCTCTGATCTTCCAGCCATCTTGAACTGTAAAGGATCATCTTGGGTTTGAACGAGCCAGGCAGAAGTGTGCTGTTTTCTAGCCTTCTACTGGAACAGGAGCATTACTTAAATTACCCTAAAGCATTTAGGTATTAAGAAATAATCAAACTGGAACGTATAAGATGGCTGGTAGTATTGTCAGGCTTTGTTTTGTGGGAACAAAGATTACTGAAACTACTGTAATTGGACTCTGGATGATAATGCTTTTGTAGGCTTTAATGTTTCTACATAAGGGCATGGACTTTTGCTTTTCGGTACAACTCAAGTGAAGATCTGGTCCTTGGAAGCTTTGTTAAACCTTGTCTATGTTGACATGGTCAAACTTTAAAATTTAGATAATATTACAGATGGGAAAGAACCTCTGGTTGTTGTCTGTCCAGCAGAGGATCAAGACATACTCAACCTCGGGCAGGTGGTTCAGAGCCTTGACCAGTTAAGCTTTTAATATCTCCAAGGTCTTCAAGATTAGTCCAACAATACAAGCACTGAAGTGTGCTTTACCTAGCTTGTATAAATGCAGTGTACTGAAATTAGGTGTAGGGAAGGAGACATTTTATCTGAATGCTGAAGTACTTGAAAGATCAGGACTTTAATTTGAAGCTGTTGTTTTCAGTAATTTTTTTTCCTCCACTGAAGAACTAGTAACACTTGCCAACAATCACAATTACAAGGAAATCCTGGTCCTAATGAAGCCACATGGCAGAATTCCCACTGACTTCAATACATGAAGAGTTTTGCAGTGGTTGTATTTATAAGGGCAACAAAACAGAGGGGGGGGAAAAAAAAAAAAAAGATACTAAACTCCTCCCTAATGAAAGCTGGTTTATTTTCATTTAATAATAAAAAACATCTGTGTGGCTTTAAGTCATACACAGAAAAACAGATTTTTTTTTTCCCTTCCACATTTAAAAATTCTTAGATTAAATTATGGCATAATTTTGGGGAAGGACCCCCAAGGGGCTGCTTTACATGTCCAGAGAAAGAGAAAGCCCAGAGGTAGAGCTGGAGAGAGGCTAGAAGGACTGTCCAAATTTACCTACAGGGTGATGCTAGAATTTGACTCTGAGTTTCTGAATTTTTCTGTAGGAGGACTAGTGTTCATAATTATTTTACAGTGTGTTTTCAGGGAGTATACCTATCATTCAGCAGGATTTTGAAATAAAATTTAAGGTGTTACTTTGAGCAGAAGCTTTCCAAAACTGTAATCTGTGTCTAGTTACACTGAAATTTGTATTATCATAGATGACTGGCATCACCGGTGCATTTTATTTCTGCACAGCTTGTTCAACAAGTCAGTGCGAGGCCCCTAGCTGCATTCTGGTTCTAGAACTACATGTATTATATCCCTGGGCTCTGGGGACAGCTGGGGTCCTCATCTTGCCAATACCTTAGTGCATATACTTAGTATTGATTAAGACAAGCTATGCATTAATTTGCTCTAGGAAAGCTCTATGTGGATACAATTCTTTAAGGATCTAAGCTCAGGCAAAAGGATGAAGATGTTTAGCAGCTCTTTGTGCAATTTACCTGCAGACTGCAGAGCCAGCCAAGTTGGGTGGGTCCATTGCTTTCCTTGTGAATTTTTAAAATATATTTAAATTTTTTCCCCCATTTTTGCATATGTTCCCTTTGCACTCTATCACCCCTACAAGAAAACATAACAGACATTGAACTCGAGTTTTGCACGTGTTTGCATTCATCTGCACTGGTTCTTTTTCCCTTTGGTTACCACATCGGGAGATGCTTAAATATTACTCTCCAGTAGCTTTGGTTACCAGCACCAGGCAGGCTGCAGTGCTGCAAGAGCTCATTATGTAGCTCGGATGATGCATTTCAAGCCACCTTGCTTCGATTTTTTTTCCTCCTGCACTATACCAACCTTTGGAGCTGTTACCAATGACTAGCTGAGTTTTGATCTATGATGCGGGTCGGAGCAGTGAGAGTATTAAACAGGCATCCCTCCTTAACAGCCGTGCAGAGTAGCTGATACCAGGGTTGCTGAGATGTGTGCAGCCATGGCACCAGCCAGGCAACAGTGAAAAGTATTTTCTTCAAAATTCCATTTAAAGAATGAAGATTATAGTTTAAAAAGGTATTTTAAAAACTGAAGTAATTGTTTGGATTTTCCTTAATGATCTAGAGAGGTAATTTAAAAAAATGTTAAGCATTTAGTAGCTTTGTGATTTTGGGGGGATTTGTGTCAAGTGCCTTATTTTGGAAAATAGAGCTGCCTAAATATAATAAATATAGAAGGTAAACACATCTTAATGATAGGAATCACCTCATTAATCCCATAAGGCTGCTGTTATAGGGTGGGCTTGAAAATTCTGCTCATCACCCTTTGAGTTCTTCCGGTGATACTATAAAAGATGCACAATGCTATGTGTCATGCAGTTTAATAGTTGTGTACCATTTCTGTTCTATGTATTTCTAACTGTTTGCTAGTATATTTATAATGAACTGAATAATTAGGACTGGGTGTGTAGCAGAAAACCATGTGAAAGGTTTAACTTGCCCTTTATTCTGTAAGGTATTAAGCGGTACTTTGCCAGGTGCAAAGCTGGTCTCCTAACACAAAAAAGCAGACAGCATCACCAAAACAGCCCAGCTTCAGATAACTTTAAAATCAGCAGATATTTTGGTTTGGGTCTTTTGTTCTTCCCCCAGCTCTTTGCATGACGCTACCTTTTGTTTCTGTTAATCTCCCACCACCATTTCGTATAGCAGACACAACTGCTTCTGGGCTCTAAGCATCCCTGTATAAGCTAATGTTTAGTTCACATGTAGGTTTTATTACTAAAAAATACATACCTTTGTTTAAAATCCAGCCTTTAGGCAGGTACATAGTATTTCTAAAAGTTAGTATCTCTTGCCAATGAGACTTTTGCTAAGTGTGTGTGTTTGGAGGTGTTTTCCAAGTGCTGATGATGGCTTATAGTGCTACATAAACCATCAACTAATCTGTAAAGCCATCTGCTGAGGGCAACAGAAATTGCTTGCCCAGCAAACTGTGGCAATTGGGTTGTTTGTGTTTTTACCTTTCGATGATCGTAATATTGTGTCTACTATGTACAAATCGTTTGACTAATTAGAGCTTGGCTTTGACCTGTTGAATTTTTTTTCAGTAGGTCAGCATCCCCTCACTACCTAACTTCAGTCCTTCAGCAGAATCATGGCCGATCTCTCAAAGGTAAACACTGAACTTTCTTTTGTTCTGTTTCTCTGGTTTTAGTCACAAGCATGTATTGAAATCCAGCTGATGGTGTGTGTGGACCTGCTCTGAAGGGTCTACTAGATTACAAAAAAACCCTGATGTAGTAGAACACATGCTTATTGTATTAGCTGCTTGTGTATTAAGTTTAAATCCATATGATGAATTTCAAGATGTAATAGAGGCCATCTTATTCTACCACAGAGGTATTTAGCAGGTATCCCAATATACTTAAAGAATGCATAGTTCATTAGAAAACAAATCTGAAAGCTGCATATCTCTATGCTAGTTTTATTGCTTACCAAGAATTGATAATAAAAGGTAGCAAATTTTAATGTATAAGGGATTGTGGCCACAGAAGTCCCTTAAAGTTGGTTCTTTTGATACTTTGGGTGGGAGAGCATGACAGGATTTGCAGGGGAATGTGGAACTAGAAGTATACTTCAGATGAGTCTTTCCTAGCTGTGTGCTACTTTTCACTCACTGGCCAAAAAGTTGAGCACAAGCTGGTGTTACTGCCAGTGTAGTTATGTGGGAAGATCTTAGTTCTGGATATTAACCCAGCTAACAGAATAGCCTCATGATGTCTGTTTAGTTTAAGGTGTCACCTTAAAAACTGCAAATTGTTCGTTTTAATTTTGGGAGAGGGGAATAGGATGGGTTTAATATATGGACTCCCAATTATAGGTCTTGATACTCTAGGCTGAAGTGCTGCTTCTCAACCAAATCTATATCCCTCTGTGTTTCCTGCACTAGTAATGAAGTAAGTGCAGGAGAAAACAAATGATGTCCACAACCAAAAGCTTTTATGTTGTATAAATGTTATTTTAACCGTAGTCATCAAAACTTGGTGGAGAAGGATTGGATCGGAGCAAGTCATGCTCAGGATACTACTGTGGATGAGTGATCCCTTCTAGCCAAGGCAGGAACTCAGTAGCACAGTATATTTTCCCCATCTAGCAAATTAAACATTGTTGTCTGTAGGTGATGTTTCAGAAGGTGCCTCTCCCTCCTGGTTGTCCCTGCAGTAGCTGGCACTGCTGTTTAGGGCAGTTACTCGGCACTTGCACACTTGCCCCAGGGGTGGGCGATGTGCCAGCAGCAGCCTGGAAGTTGAGCCAGGGATGGCAGCGTAGGTACACCTGTGCTTTTGTAGTACGGACAAACCCAAGTGGTATTGCTACTGAGAAAGAATTAAGGTATTTGGGGGGTGGGTTGCTGTTTATTTTCAAGGAATCCCTGGTGAAGTGCAGCATTGCTTTTCTTTCTGGTGTCCCCTTCCTCAGCCTACTGTTACAGGTTTCAGTGAGTATTAGAGTAAGAAGGAATTGGCTATAGCTCAGTCCTAGGGATTTTTACTTTTGCTTTCCACAAGAAAAAACAGCCAGCCAGATTCAGATTTTTTTTTTTTTTTAAAAAAGCTAATTTAAGATGGAAATCTGTTTCTCATCGACAGTCAAATGCAAATAGAAGTAGCAACAGCTGTTGAACAGAAGATGGTTACTTCATTTTCCCATATGTACTTTTAAAAAAGTTTTCTTCATTTTAAAAGATTTTAGTGGGCCTTGGTACCAGGACAGCATGCTGGGTATCACAGCATTTCTTTTGAAGAATCCTGTCGAGCACAGGTTTTGCACCTCACCACTAAGCTTAATACATTGAAGGCTTCTCCTTGTCATTTTTTTTTTTTTTAAAGTGCTGAAAAGTGAATTGTGCTCAACTTTCAAATGGCTGACTCCAAGAAAAAGTGAGCATGTGTTAATTAGTTGTAGAGGAGTGTTGTTAAAGCTGTTTCAAAAGGATAATGAAAGGCCACCGATGAAGCAGGACTTGAGCATCCAGCTCTCTGGTTTTGCTAGCATGGTAGGCTTTGAGGGGAGAAGGTTGCTTTCAGTTTTTAGCCACAAACCAGAAACATTGGTGAGGCAGCAAAGCCAAGGTTTTTTAGAGACCAAGCACCTTCTGGTCCATAGATGGTAATTACCATGCATCCAGACAGAGGTTTTACGGTCGCTGGCTGGCAAGGAAGCATCCTTGGCTGGCTGGCTGCTGCAGGGCTGCTAGATCTGAGATTCTCAGGGCTTTTTAGAGAATACAAGAAATCCCCCTTCTCGTAATGATTTTGCTGGTGTGTCCTGTGACAGGTTTGGAGATTGCCAGTCTGATGCTAACTATTGCAATTCACTACACTGGAGGTGCCGAAATAATGACATATATCTTCTCTCATTTAATTTCTGTATCTCGGTGAACTTGTTCAGAGTCTCCCTGGCATTAGAGGAGCCATTAATGCTCACAGGGTCGCATAGGGCAGCTGTTGTACAGATTGAAAGAATTCCTTGTAATAAGGTGCTTCCTTAGCACTTCTGCTTGGGAAGCATAAATTTGGGAAATACTGCTCTATCGAGGAGAGCAATCACAAGTGAAGCCAAAGCACATTAACAGTGACGCAGAGTACTGCTAAGAAATTGCTGCAGAAGTGTGTCTCCTCTTTCTTTGGGGTACTAAGATGCAGAAATGTTCTTTGCAGGTAGTAATTTTGTGTTGCATTAATGTTTCTGTTTGCTTGTCATTTTAACAAGGTGGTGCTTATATACCAACATCAGATGTTAAAATAAAATGTCTGTGATAGCAAGTAAGGAATGGGAATATTTCACTTACTGATTATGGTTGTGGAGGAAAGTAACTCTTCATGCTTTTTTTAATTTCTTTTTGTCAGTTGGATACATATGACTTGTAAATTCAGGGACTCTATTGCTGCCAAAGACAGACAAAACAGAGCAAAAAAAATAATCTCACGAGTGTGATGGAATAGACCTTAAAGGATGCTGGTTTTAAAATAAGAGACAGCAAAAATGAGGGGGGGAATGTGTATGTTGTGTAATCCTTGTTGGAAACAGCAGCTCAGTCCCCTTCCCACATGAGTACAACATTCTCAAATTGTCATGTTCTTCAAATTTCTCCTTGACCAGGGATGAAGTTAGGGATAATTATATAAGATTAGGAAGCCAAACACATAATTCTGCAGTTCCCCTCCCAATACTAACCCTCCCTTCAAATTCAGTAATACAGTTAATGCATATAATGAGGGGGGAAGAAAACAAATGCCATCAAAAAAGACATTGCTGATGTTTCACTTCAACAGTTCCTACCCCCGTTCCTGTTCAGCAGGACTGGGAGCCTGTTCTGCTCACTGCCAGTACCTTCCAGCACGTTGTCTTCCAGCCCCACTTCTCCACTCATCGCTTTTACGTACATACATGCATACGTACATCTCAGATGTAGTCTTTTGCTCTGAGACTCTGAGCCAAGGCTCTTGTGAGAGCTCACCGTCTCTTTTCTCCTCTTTTGCCTGGTTAGTCCACCATATATATTTCTTACATATTTCTCTCCTGTATAAGGAGTATTCATCATCCATAGCTGAAGTGAACGAAGGAAGACCTTGCATTTCCTCTTTTTCTAAAGTGTGTGTGTGTGTCCTGAAATGAATGGGAAAAACATGCTTGTTTCTTTTCCTTTTGACCTGACTCTGGTTAGAAATATCACTTTTTGCTATAGTATCCTCAAGGTGCCCTTTTTGAGATGTAAACAATTCACTCCGGGCAGCAAAGGATGTTTTACAGCAGCGCTTGTCACCACAGCTAAAAGCACTGAAGTTCATCTAAACCTTTTTAAGTGCCTGTTCGTTGTTTAGATCCCCATGCTTTCTAGATTGAACAGTTCAGTGCCCTTTCCCCCTTCGTCTTCTCAGTTTCTTCCATCTTATTGGTTGTTAGTCTGAAAAATACTGCTGGAGGAGAGGTGTGCTGAGTTAGTGCTGCATTAATGGGCACGTTTGTTCTCAGCCTTGCATATTCACATAGCCAGGGTATGAAGCTGCCAAGATGCTTTGCTGTGCCATATGCATAATCTTTCTCAACCAGTATAAACAAAAGCCACTTGTTGATAAGTATAGCAACAGCATCGTCATATGAATGTCTAATTAATGTCGCTGATCCTTGCCTTCAGCTTTGGTAAGGGCATTATGAGAATTCAGCTTTTCAATACCATAGTTAAGATCTAGGACTTCTATAACTGTATTGTACTGTATAGGAGCCATGCTCTGTCTGAATTTGATAATTTTTCACACCCCCCTGCTCTCTATTTTAGGCCAATATATGCAGATGTATATTCTTTGTATGTTCTAGGGACCTCGTGTTGTCAGGCTTACCTGAAATCTAATGTTTTGCTGCTTCTCCTTCACAGAATCTGATATTGATGCTGCTACTGCAATGATGCTGTTAAATACTTCCATTCAGCAAGGGATGTTGGGCTGTAAGCATAAACCATTTTACTCTCTTTTTTTGCTCTACCAAGTAGCTAAATGTTTTCTCTATAAAGTTTTAGGAAACGAGTATGGTCTAGTTTCCAAATAGTAGGAGCAGTCAAGAAGCAATTCTGGTTTGATTATTCTTTCTGCTAGCGTTACAGAGTTTTATAGAACCACCTTCTCTTTTTTTTTTTCCCAATTAATTTTGTTTTTTCTGCAGAGTTCTTCCCCTACCCTCTTTGTGCTAGATAGTAGGAAGAGTTTCTTAGGTACTTCTCTGTTTCTGTAGTTCCTAGTTGTGCTTAGCTGAAGACTGCTGTCCTCTGTGGATGACAGTAAATGTGCAAAAGATAGTACAACTCTTAAATGCTCACATTCAGCTTACTTTGCAGTCAGCCAGCCATAGTGTGCTCATTTTGCAGGTGATCTCATTGGAGTATTTGCTTACTGATGAATCTTGGTTTTAATAGGTGAGAAACCTCAGCCTCTGAAGACACCCAAGAAGAGGAGTTACGGCAGTGCGTTCAATCCTCCTAGTTCCATAAATTTGCAGGAAAATGATTCTGTGGCCACTAATATTGATCCGAAGGAGGATCACAACTACAGTGCCAGCAGCATGGGTTCCCAGCGCTGTGCATCTAGATCCAGTGTGTCTTCCTTGTCCTCCCTTGATGAGGTGTATGAATTTATCTCCAAGACCAGCCATGACGGAAGCGATGGCAGCGAAGGATTTCACAGTGAAGTGGATACAGACGTTGACTACGAAGATGATCCTCTTGGAGACAGTGGCTATGCATCACAACCTTGTGTAGATACCTCTGAGGAAAGTCAGCCTAGCAACAAAGCACTCAAGGAGTTATGTCAAGAAATCGATGAGGAGTTGAAAGAAGCAGCAGGGTCTCTGCTCCACCTTGCTGGCATCCAAACATGCTTGAGTTCCTTAATAAGTACTGCAAAGACCCACTGTCACAAGCAGAGGAAAAAATAGAAAATAGTGTGTTTGTCAGTGTTGAATATATACATATATTTTTTTTAATTGTGGCAATACTCTTCTACTTTTACCCTTCACAAGGGAGATCAAAGCCATAAGAGGACTCATTGCTTTTTTATTTTTGGCGCTAACTATAATTTAGCCATTTATTTTTAAATCACTGCCTAAAAAAAAAAAAATTATTTAAAATTAGAAGAGATGCATGACTTGTGAAAACCTGAAAGCATACTTCTTAATGATCACTTTTTTTTTCTTTTTAATAGTTGATTTTACCTTTTTTTTTTTTTTTCAGATGTGTTTATTCAGATGCACATTGTGGATCATATTTACATCTCTGCTGGCCCCAGCTGCAGAGGTGACTTTTGCCCTGTCTAAGGGCTCTGACTTCAATGTAAAGGATTAAAAAGGAGGAGGAAAAAAGAAAGAAAGGGGGGGGTAAAAAAGGCTCCTGGCTTTGGTTGCCTCCTCCTACCCATCCTCTCTTCACTCTTTTGAGACAGATCCGGTCGAAATGCTAGTGAAGCAGCTCCGAGTGGCTGCAGTTTTCAGCCCGTCTGACCCAGGGGCTGAAAACCTGTAGCACTCCCGGAGCTGCTTTCAGCAAGACGCTAAGTACCCCCAGGAAGAGTGGGGACAAGGGGTGTCACCTGCGGTTTTCTTTCTTTCCCTCCTTCCCCCCAACCTGCTGCGTGCAGGTCAGATTCCTGAAGGAAAACAGTTTGGTTGTTTTTTTCATCTTAAGACAAATTGTCTTTTTTTGGGGGTGTGTGTGTCCTTTTTGTGCAGATGCATGCATGCATACCTACGCCTTCATGTAGCCAACCAACAGTGAAAGCTGCCACTTGCCAAGTTTGATGTTGTCCTCGTGTTACCACCGTTCTTGAATACATAGTAGCTGCACAGTGTCGCAACATCTACCCTTTTTCCCTCTATATCAATTTTTGGGGAAAAAAGAACCCAACAGTTGATGGTGGTGACAGCGTGGATGAGGTGGAGTATTTAGGTGGCTAGGTGGTGAATAGCTGCTGAAAAGGGAATGTCTTGCCCCGTAATCTGAGACAAAATCAAATAGCTTCCTTTTGGATCAGTGAACCCTGAATTCCTTTTGGGGTTTTTGCCCCTTCCTCCCCAGTGCTCATTGTTTTTGTCACATGGGCTGTCCATACCTTTTGTTTCTCAGATCACTGTGCCTTGTGCTGTGTGAACCCTGTCAGCCTCCTGCCGCATATGGGGCATCTAATGGGCAAAAGGCTAGGCTTTAGCCTTTGGGTGTGCATCGTAGCTCAGGAGGATCTCTCTGTTTTGGGAAGAAATTCCTTCACAATTCATTTTTGCAATAAGAGAATCTCTTTATAGTTCCCACACATCCTTCAGCCAAAAATGTTTTAGGGGTATGGTAAACTTTTTTCCTTTTTTTAAAAAAAAAAAAAAAATTATCAGTGGTGATTGATTAATTACATCTTCTTGTAGATGATGGCTTTCTAAAAAACTTTCTGTTCAAAAATGGGTAAGCAGTTCTGTTGGAGTAAGTTTTAACAGTACTGTACATATAAGGATGCCTTAAGTATGTTGCAGAATTGTATACAACTATGAAAGGTCATCTTTCCTGTTTCTGAAAGGTAGCATGATGTGCCATAAATGTTCTTGCTGACACATGAAGCTATTGCTTCCAGCAGGTGTTCAGCAAGCTGGTTGAAAATTAGGAGCAAAGCCACGTAGGAAACCGGTGTCCGCTGTTTTGGTTGTTGAAAACCATGGATTGGATTCAGCCAAAAGTTAACCTTTCCCTAACAGGGTATTTTTCTGGCTATTTGGAGGCCTTTCTTAGACCAATGTGGGGGTTTTTTTTGTTTTTTTTCGTATTTGTCAGTCTTCATGAATACTGCCATAAACTGTCTACTTTAGCTATGAATACAGCCATGCTGCTGAAGGTCTGTTGCTCTGAGGGCCTGTTCCAGTGCCTCTTGAAGACAACGGTGGTGCTCCCGCTGACTCAATGGCTGTTGGATCAAGCCTGAAATATTTGATGTCCTTTGTGTCTTGGAATTTAAAGCCAACATTTTTTTTTAAAGCACAAACACTAGAAAAAAAGTAGTTTTTTTTCTCTCCCCCCCCCTTCAGTTTTAAGAATTATTTGTTTTATTTCTTGAAAGGGAAGAAAAATACTCTGCTGCATTCCTGCTTTGTGTGAACCCCCATTAGCCTACACTCATAACAGGACAACATGTGTGCAGACATGTATGTCTTCTGGATATCACAAGTGGTGCATTAGCCAATTAGATCTGATACTGGATGTGTTACTGATGGATAGTAGGAGTAAAACTTGCTATTTAAAGGAAAATTAAGTACCAACGCAGTGGTTCTTAGGATTTTGGGATGTGGAGATGTGAATGCTTGCTGGAACTGCTTTTTGCTCATGGGTTGCTTTTGTACCTTGATGGAAAACTGCAAAGGGCAGAGTTTGTGTCAATGCACAAATGAGGATTCAGCTACACAGGAATACTGTTAGCAGTCTGGGATTTTGCTCGGTGCCATGATTTCAGTTGCACACTGCTGAAGAGGGGTGCTGCCTGGTTCCCACTGAAGGTGGTTGCAGCTTTTCTGTAGCTTCTAGTGAAAACTGCATCAAGGTTCAAGTATCCTGGAAACTGCAGTCCTAGTAGGCTCTGTGGTTTGGTTTGGTTCTGAATTATTTTTTTTCCTCAGATAAAATTTGAGAAGGTTAATACTTACTAGGAGTGTGGCTGTGCCGCTGTTAACCCTGAAGTTGTTGATAATGAATGACTTCAGCATTTCTGAAGGGATGGGGTTGGGATGCTAACAATGTATTTAATTTACAATATGCAATGAGCAATAAAACCATACTAATCAGAAGTTAGTGGTGAAAGCTGCCTCCATCCTTACAGCTTTTGTCCTGGGAGAACTGGAATTGTGGAAGCAGAGAAGCAATTGCAGCCTTGCTCTGGGACACAGAACAGTGCTGTGGGGCCATGCTCTTCATGCTTTGCTGTCTTCCCTCTCTCCTCCCAAAGGAGAAGGTAGCCAATCTGTGCCCCTGACATACTCCACCACGTTGTCCCATACCTCTGCCCACACGTTTGGCAGGCAAAGGCCGCCAGCTCAGTTGCAGAGCACCCCTCTTGGTAGTGGGACAATAGCTGCCCTTCCTTCCGCTTACCGATCTAGCATTGGGTTTGGGTTTGTTTGCCACCTCAGTTAGAGACCCTGGTGTATATAGTATAAATGGAGTATAATTAAAAGTTATTTTGATTGTTGGGTTTTGGGTTTTTTTGTGACACATGTAAAATGTTCATGCCAATGAACTCGGATATATTTTGGCAAGAAAAGTATTAATGAACCACGTTCAATTCTTTATATACAGTGAAGAAGTGTGTGAGACGTGTACAAGGGAGGCTGCTCTGTTCAGGATAATTCTGATGTGAATACTGTACGAACATGTATTGGCCTTTCAGATTGCAATACTAAATTACTGCTTTTGCAAAAGTTGCGTCAAATGTTCTAAAATCCAACTGTAAAATGGAAATTGTATGGTTTGCAACTTTTCATCAGCCTGAAAACTAACTACAAGCTTTGGCTAAAGCCAAGTACGCTCATACAGGTTAATAATGGTGTAGTCAAAATATTTATTGAAAAGAAAAGGTAGAATATTTGAAATGTTGCACCTGCCATTATATCTTAAAGCACATTCTTCACAGCTAACTGCCAGTGCCATTATCAAGTCTGTTTTATAAATGTACATTTCTTCAAACTAAAAAGTGCATAATTAAAAGTATTATGTTACTGCCATATAGTGATATAAAACATTTTATAATTGCCAATTCATTGTAACTATTATTTATTTAAAAGTGAATTGTAAGAATGCTTTCTGATCAAATGAACCAGAGTTGTTTTAAAACCATTCCCGTTAGCTTGTTTCTAATGTAGCATAAGCAATGTCCTTGGGTTTGTTTAGAATAATTTTGCCAGTAGGTGACCAATTCTAACCCTTTTTCCTCCAGTTTAGTCCTTTACCCATTTTAAAGACGATTTACAGAAGGTTTAGTTTTTTGTATGCTAATCTCTGTTAATTAAAATGTTTATAAAGTTTATTTTTACCAAAGAGATGCAATTCATTATGACAAAATATTGCAGAATAAACTTTGTTTTATAACATTTGTGACTTTTCTGCCCACATTTTTCATTCAGATGATCAAAGGGGCTTTTCTAAAATAAACAGCATTGCAAACAGAAAGCACTGTGTTCTCTCTTTATCTACAGACCCTGGTTCTGGTCTTAAGATGGTGCTCCAAGTGCTCCACCTTCCCCTTTAAACCTCTTCCATGAGATGGGACTAGTGTAAAGAGCCAAATGTGTAATTTATTATAGGTTGGTTAAGACAGTTGCATGCCTGTGGAAGTCATCTGTAAAATACCCTATCAGTCTATAATAGGATTTGCTTCAGTCAGGTTCAGCCACAGCTGGCCTGTAATATTTCAAGAGCATCTTGTTAAGGCCAGGATTTCACACTTTAACCTGGAACTTGAGGAATGTTTTGACATCTTGGAAATTGCTGAGATACTACTGCATACCTTTTTCCCTCCTGTGCAAAGCATTTGTTTAAACAGAAATAACTGGAATCTTTTTCTGATTAAACATCTGTGATTATTTATAGTTCTGTATCCGCATCACTGTGGCCAAGTTGCTTGTGTGATACGCAGAGATCAACAGTATAACACAGGACAGGTAATTTAAAAAATTTGTCCCTGGATAAAGTTGCATAGGTCTTGTTTGGTGTTTTTTTACTGTTTACTTTCTTTAGATAGGATTTGCGGTGTCTGTTGGGTCTTTATACATAAGGCCTTAGAGAAAGCACAGAGGTGCGAACACCTGTCTCTTCACTAGCAGGAATGAAATACTGCCCATCCCACTGCCTATGTGCCTCTGCTTGCTGCTCCCGGGCCAGCTCTCCCCTCGAGTGCCTGCACACACATGTGCCTTTACAGTGCCTGAGAGGCAGAAGTACCAGAGGAGGGAAACAAGATGTGATGTGATGCTGATCTCTCTTAAAAGCAGACATTGGTCCGTCTCTTTTTTATTATTTTTAACCTACTACTATCACGAAGTTTCCTCTGTAGGACTTGATGGAAATACAACAGTTCCTTTTGCAATACTTGAAGTGATGGGGTAGATTTTAACAAAGACACCATCACCTTATCAAATAAAATTTAAATCACAAATTACAGGATATATATGCACTGTTAATATCTTTGATTTAGTGTTCGTCTTAATATACTGATAAAAGAACAACTGCTCTAATTAGTTTGGACAAAATCACAGCTATGTATCATACGCTAATGATAATCTTTCTAATTATTATTCACTATATTGTGCTAAGAGAGCCTGAAGTTCGTTGTTAAATTTCCCAAGAGTGTTTTCCTCAGTTACGACTTTGCTGAAAATTACCCTCTGTATGGAGCCACAACTCTCAAAATAAAGCATTAATTGAAGCAATTATCCACTTATACCAGCTGTATTTTAAGGACATTTGTTGAGGAAATAATAGATTTATTTTGAAAAAAATGGCTGTCTAAATTTGACACAGAATATGGTTATATTTTCACAGATCTTAAGCTTCCAGATACCTCTAAGTGCTCTTAGTTTGAGTAGACTGAGTAAACACATGTATATGTGAGCATCTGGTGTGCTTGGACGTAATCACATATGAGAAGTAGTCCAGCAATGTTACTGTGAACTTTCCCAGCATATTTGGACATAGAAACAGTCTTCCCTGTTTTTACCCACGGGAGCCATTCTTGCACCTGAGATGGCAAAGCAATATTGCCTCTGCTCAAATTGTCAGTCTTCAGATTAGTTAGATTTCTTCTCCCTTTTCTTCCAGAAGGGCCTCCTGAAAGCTTCCTGCTCTTGCAGTTATAAACTACTTAAAACTAAAGTAAGATTATTAACTACCCTCTACCAGTGTTAGTTTAAACAGCTCTTCGTTAAACATCAGAGTGTTTATTTTCTTATTGCATCAGTACAAAAGCAATCATTTCCTCCTTAGGCTCTTGACTTACTAAATAAACCAAGATCAATTAGTTTCCATTTGAAAGACATGATCTTCATTCCTCTTAACCACTTTTCTGTACATTAATTCCAGTTTAAATTCAGCCTGCTGGCAGGTGCATGAGAAGAGCTATAGACACTCTTCTAGAGTGCTGGTGCTTTTTGTAACCAGGCATTAATATTTTCCTGACTTTGCAGCACCACTTTGGCCTGGTATGTCTTAGGCTAGTCATGGCCTTTGCCCAGCCACATACAGTTGACTAATCCTATTACCAATTAATATACCCATGTCTTTGTTCTCCTCCATCACTGCCAAATGGTGAGGCCCCAGTCAGCAGAAAAAGTTGGTAGTTCATGATGTGGAACTTGATTTAATGACATCTGTCTGGATTCTGACTCTTTGTGATCTTTCCTGGTAACCTTCCTGCTCACCAGGAGCTACTTTTGGTCACAACTTGTCCAAATAAATAAAGAAGGACAAGATTTGTCAGTAATGATATGTATTTAATCAATGTTGTCGTTTAGCTCATTTTGCAGTTCTCTGCAGCCTTGGGTTTTTTGTTTAAAACAGTGGGGGCAGATCAAAGGTGTCTTTGCCTCATGTCTTAATAGGAGATGCTACATTTGCCATTGTCACACTTCATTTGAGTCATCAGAATAACTACCCTCAACCAAGTAAGTACTTGTCTGTGCCCTTTCAACCTTCAGAGAAGGATGTCCAGTTTCTTTAAAAAAAGCTGTGTCTACCCCAGTGTTGCTTTTATGCTGGTTGCCATGATCTCTGTTTCCACAGTACCTTGACTTTCCAGGCCCTAATGGCAGCATACTAGATTGGACTGAATACCTAATTTCTGTATCCATTCCAAAGATGCTTATAACAGTTAAGCACTTGGGTATTTTCATACGCAGAAATTCAGGTTGGTCCCTACCAGACGAACCTCTGAAGCACTGATGTGCTTATGTGCTTTGCAGTTGGCAGGCAGGTGTTCAGAAAAATCTCTGTAGGTGTCTATACCAACCTCCACAGAGCATCACTTTTAAAAATAGATTTTGTGTCTCAAAAGCTTTTTTTTATTTAATTAACTTGGTATCTTGGTTTCATACTAAGATCCCGTAGGTTCCCAGTTGTTTTAAAAGCTAAAATTAGCTCAGCAAACTACATTTTCAGTTATTTTCAGTAAGGGTACATTTTATTCTCTCTCATAAGCTTTGTGCATGTTTTCTGAACTGCTGGTGGTGGTTTCCATGCTCCGAATACGCAGCTAGACCTCCACAGATTGCAGGTATTTTGCTTTTCTTTTGGTTCTGAGTAATTTGAAAAGATTAAAAATCCACCTGTTGAGTTTGACTACAATGTGCTGGCTGAAATGACCTGCTGTTTCGCGCAGACTCTGCGAGCCCTTCTGCGGGGCAGGTAAGGTGTAGGCAGACCTGAGCCATTTCAAAAGAAAAGATGTTTCCTTAAATCTCTGAGTGGCTACACAAATCTGGGTATTAACTCGAGTGTGGTGGTGTTGTACGCTACCTTAAGAAAATGATGCTGCCGTGCTGCATGATGTCACCTTGACCCAATCATAACCCATTTTCTGTGAGCATAATGATAACTCCCCAGAGAAGCATCCACTGAGTGACAGCAGCATCCCATGCAGCCGTTGCTAAGCGACAAGATTCAGTTTTCAGCAAGATCTAATTTTAAAGTATTTAACCCTAGATCTGTCAAGGTTCATTATTTCCGATGTGGTTGTTAATCCCTACTTGTTGGTGTTCAACTTCACAAATACCCTGGCCCTGGTAGTGTTGCTGTTTTATTTATCACATATAGTAGCTCATAACAAGGAGAAGCGTAAGCACCCTGGGTAGATCTCAATGCCAAATTTCATTCTAGTGCTGATCCATACACAGAAATATAGGATGCAATTAGAGGTGGAAAATAGTGCATTGTCATTCTGTGAATCTTCCTTTCTTTGATGGCTTGCCCAGGTGGCTTGCACCTACTTTCTTTCTAAGGAATGCTGGTTTTCAAATGAATGAATGCTTATGGATGTGTAGCTGGCAATAGCAATTAAGCTTCAATTTTTAGTAATATTATGTGTCCTCTTACTTATAGCTGAATTTTATCTAGATTAAGCTTGTCTTCTTATCTAAAACCATTCCAAAAACCTGCTGTTAATTTGAAATTTAGGGTTTTTTAAATACTGGAAATCTTTAACTCTTAAACCATGACATAGAATATTTACAGATCATGATGAAGTTCTACAGTTTGTGTGTCAATTGTTTGGGTTTTTTGTAAATAGTTTTCTACATTTTATTTCTTTCTAAAGTATAGAGGCCTGGAAGCCTACTCCCATACTCTACAAAAAAAAAATATATATTTCTGACCAACTGTCTCATTCCTTGATTAATTATTATCCCTGTAAGTGCACTCAAGTTCACTGCTAGCTTCTCAAAGGTATGTGATATTTCACTCAGCTGAAATAATGCTGCTTTTACTATGCAGTATCATAACCACAAAAAAATACTGAAAACTGCACAGAAATCCCCATAAAATGTAGTAAATCGCAAAGAAAAATAAATTGGATGATTCATATTTTTTAAAATGCTAATATAGTTCCTCTCAGCCTTATAATCCCCCCTAGGATTCATTCTCCTCCTATTGTTAGGATTCAAAACTGACACTGCATTGCTCCTCACGCTGTTTCTCCTTTCCAGTTTATACTAATCTGCAAAGACAAACCTGTTTCCGCCAAGGCACTTTTTCCAGCAGTCAATGTCATCATAAAACTCCCCTGCTGCCTTTCGATCCTCCTGGGGTGTCCCCATTTCCACTGCTTCAAGTTCACATTTCCCATCGTCAGGCTTGCAATGTACAAGTGACTGTTAATCGCCTTTTTCTTCCGCATGGTGCGCTGTGCCTTCTCCCTGTGCTGTCCGTGAGGAACCCTGCCCCACGTCCCCTCCACCTTTCTCCTTTTTCCATGACAGTCTTTATGCACCAAAGACCTGGCTTTAGCTCATTCCAAAAGTCCAAATTATTTTTATTTTAAAAAGAAAAATAATATCTTCATTAACAAGAACAACTCTGATTTAAAATGTTTCTGAAACTACTGGTAAATCTGCCAGATCTCTCTCTCTGCTCAAGTGTCCGTCTGGAGATTTGAGAAAATTAAGACAAATCTATGCCATCTC